TTAGTAACACCCCCTCCCTCCGCATTTGTGACAACCAAAATGTCCCTTGGTGCCCAGACATCAGTAAATGTTTCCCGGTGGCAAAATCACCCTGGCAGAGTACTTCTGGTCTAGAAGGAGGCAGACGTGAAAACAGTCGTGCATCATTTCATTCAGCAGTCACTCACTGAGTTCCTAATCAGTGCTATGCACTGGGGACCAAGGAACAGACAACCAGAAAGAGGATGCATTCCATCCCTCCTCCACATCATGGAGGGACCAGCTTGAACATCAGGTCTCCTCTGTGCTGTCATCTGTGGTGGATTCTGCCTCTCCCCCTGCCTGTCCTGATGGCTTGGCATCAAGGCCCTACTCAGTGTGTGGCTTCATATTTCAGCTTTACCTCCAGACTACCTGTGTTTCTTGAAACGATCTCTGCTCCGCTCTCTAAAGCCCTCTGGCAGCCCCATCCCACTCTTGACACCTGTATATAGTCTCAGGAACCCAGCCCAGATCCTGCAGAGACCCAGCATCTGGGCTCTGCTGATTATAAATTGGGAAATGAGACAAATTTGCCCAATGAGCAGCAGCATAGAGTTGTGCGCGGCTGTAGGGAAGGATGGTACGGAGTTTTAGCAGGGCTGGAACCCAGGACTCCAGGGACTGGGGGTGGGCCAGGTATGAGATGACCCCCTATAGAGGCCAGATTTTAAAGGCCCAAGGATCAGGTGGGGTGGAGAGGAGAGGAGATAACAGAGAGCACAGCAAGACAAACTAATCTCAAACTAGAAAACTCTTCCTACAAGCCAGAGGGTGAGGTGGGTGTGACACTGGGATAGCCTGGTTGGCTTCAGGTGGCGAAACTGTGCACATCCCTCGGCACAAGGTGTGGATGATCAATATTATTAACAAGCATAAGAAACTTCAAACTGAACAAGTTTCCTCCCCCAAATTATACACTTTGCAACTGCTTTATCTTTCTTTGAAAACTGAATAATCCAGGATGGGGGTTGTAGTGGCAGAGCACAAACCACAAGGTGAGAAGGCTGCACTGATGGTGTAACAGACATCTGATACTTACCCAATAAGCATGGAGCACAGAGGTCAATCAGTCATGGACTCCATGTGAACTCCAATCCCATGGAAGAGCTGAATGCTCGTGTAATAGCCAACTGGCAGTGAGCACCTTGGACGTGTCGGGCACTCAGGTGCATGCTGGGTATACAGATACCCTCCCGAAGGCCCCAAGGCAGCAATAAGGTCACAGCCTAAATCGTTCCAGTTCAAAATCAATGGTGATCAATAATGGAGATTCAAAGAGCTAAGGGAGTACGGAGAAGGGAGAGGTTAATTTCAAGTAGCTTGATTACTCAAAATCTCATCCCTTGGTTTTCTGTGTGATTTGATCCCCTGTATCCTGACCATCTGAAGTGGCATCATGCAAACCAAAGTCTTTCGTGTAAGTTCCACTTTGGATCCTATGAGCACTGTATGTTGAATTTTTTTTTTAGTGAGTGAGGAAGTCTCCGAGTAATGAGATGTGAAACAGCACTGAAGATAGGGAAAAAGAGCAGTTTAGCTAGTTGCCTTTGAATAAGAGAGACTGTAAGAGATTTTAAATCTTTTAATTGTAAGATATAAGAATAAATTGTGTTTATTTTTCATCTATTAGATAAAAAGATTATAGAATCTACTTTAAGCAGAAATTTCCAAATGACATACCAACTGGCAGTTCAATCAAGATTATAGCGATTATTTCTAAGGAGTAGATATTATAGCATCATTGTGCTTTTTACAAAATAATTACAAGTCTTTGTTTCAGTGTCAACGTTTATGCATAGAATTTTGCTGCACCAGTTTCTAGCCAGACATGGAAATCACCTCCCTCAAGACGAGCAGAAGATGATTTAAGTACAACAGGAAGGAGGAACTTTGTAGATTGGACATTGGCTCTTTATCAGATACCTACCTGGGACCATAATTACAACTAACTGTTCAGTGACCAACACATAAGGCTATTGGGATTTTTATTTTTAAACAGTGAAATGCACAAGTATAGTAAATTTTGTGTTGGGACAGGGGGGAAGCAAGGAAAGGAAACCGCCTCTCCTCCAGAGTGAAAAACCAAAGGTCACCTTGTGATATGTTTCACTTGTTCGGGAATAGTTGATAAAAAGCGGAAACACAACCCCAAAGGCTTGAAGGACACAGTTACTCATTGAAAAAGAGAGGTGTTCACACCTCAGTTCACTTAAAAATACATATGGGGGCTTCCCTGGTGGCGCAGTGGTTGAGAGTCCGCCTGCCGATGCAGGGGACACGGGTTCGTGCCCCGGTCCGGGAAGATCCCACGTGCCGCAGAGCGGCTGGGCCCGTGAGCCATGGCCGCTGAGCCTGCGCGTCCGGAGCCTGTGCTCTGCAACGGGAGAGGCCACAACAGTGAGGGGCCCGCGTAACACACACACACACACACACAAATACATATGGAGCCTCATCCTACCTGCAGACACTGTGGTAACTGCACTCTCCCCTCTGTATCATTGTGAGGGGTGGTGTTTATGTGTGTGTCCTAATTACTTCCTCTTCCCTACTGGGACCTTAACTTACAATATTTAGTCTTTCTCATTTCTCAATATCTTACACATTTTAATATGTAATATCTTACATATTTTAATATAGTAGGCAGTTAATAATTTTTTTAATTGTGGAGACTAGACTAGAACAAAGCAGAATAAGAAAATGCTCAAATTAATATTGAAAACATGTAATGTTGACAAAGTTGTTAATTCCTGATCTTTCCCATCAGTTGCCCCTGCCCATTCATTGACTACCAGTGAAAATAGGGCTGATCATGAAGATGTTTATTTGTGAGTCAGGAGGCAGCCTGCCCCCATCGTGAAGCCACTCAAAGGAAAGACTGAGCATTCGTGGATAAGGGGAAAGGCTAGAGGATATTCGAGACTAAGGTGCACATGAGCTATCCCTACAGTTCTTTCAAGTCCAAATTCCATTCTTCTGTCTTTGGAAACATGACCTCATCAAGGCACACAGAGGCAGGATTTAAGACCGACAGTCATACGTTGCACCCAGTGTTCTTCAGACCAAAGAGGTCTGATTGGAATTTTTTTTTTTTTTGAATGCTATGATGATTGGAATTTTTGACAAACCTAGTACGCTAACAGTGTCAAAGCTCGACCTGGTGAAAATCATTTCAAGTAGAAATGCTCTAAAAATGCTCTTTTACAAAGACCATCCTTCTAATAATAATACCAGTGTGCCTCTCACCACTTTTTCTTTTGCAGAAAGATTTCTTTCCTCCCTCCCAGAGATGCTGTCAGAATGAGGGTTGGCCACCCCAAGGCAGAATCTATAACACTTTCCATTAAAATGCTGCCAGTATTTGCTCAGTTACGTTATCTAAGGAACTGAGGAGTTTTGTTTATATTTTAAGATCAGCAAATGCCAAAAATATTAATGTGAATTGAATAACCTTTCCCAGTGTTACATTAAAACACTGATACATCATCTTTAAACACGTCTGCAGAACTTTTTAGATATTAAAGAAAACATTTATGTTCAGTAGCATTTCAGCATTGAGCCTATTTTATTTTGATTTAATTCCTAAAAGGTATAGTCCATATTGTACACCAAGCCTGAAGCCTTTGCTTTCCTGTCCTTCACAGACCTGGGTTTGTTCTAGCTTCTCCGCTTACTACCTGTGTAGCCTTGGACAACCTGTCTGAGCCTCAGTTCTCTTATCTGTAAAACAGAATGAAGTATAACAGGGAAAGATGTTGGAAAAATGAAATGAGAACACTTGTGTCAATTACAGCATGCGTTTGAAGATTCGTTCTGTTCAGCTACTCCTGTGTGCTCTAAGGCCACAGGTTCTTGGAATCTGCCCCATGGCTGGCCCCAGCAGTCACTGAAGAACACTACCCTCCCCAACCAAACCCTCCCCCTAGAAGTAGAGTTAGAGCTACTTTAGTTTAGGTCTTCAGTGTGAGCATCACCAAGTATGCAAATTACCAGATTCCACCAGTGATCTCAAGGTGAGGCCCGGCTACCTCCATGAACATGCCCTCCAGGTGATTCTGATTATAGCCATAGCTTGAGAACCATTGCCCTACCTAGATCATTCTCTCTTTCCATCACCCTTCCCCACAGTTTCTAAATTTTTTCAACCCCTTTGTACCTTCCATTAACTCATCTCCTCCAGTATCCCTCTAATAGCCTATGCTGTCTCTCATTCAGTTACTGCAAAAGTTCTCTGCTGGAACTGAATCCTTAATCACAGTTGGAGACGAAGACCAGAGCACCCTCTCAGGTGGTGGAATAGCTAAAAGCACCCAAAAGATTCACCTTTGACTATATTGTCTCATGTCTTTTGTACCTTCTGGAAGCTCTCTCTGTCTCCCAGCCGTGCATTTCATTACAAGGGGCCCCTTCTGTTGGCTTTAGCTCAGCCTGTGCCATTGTAGGAAGGAGTTTGGGCAACTCCTACCCATAAAAGGTGCCATAGGCATCCCGATGACTAAATTTTCACAGAAATCTCTGTGTTCTTAGAATAAATTTCTAGAAGTTCACCTCTGGCAGGGCCAAGGTAGGTATCTTTTTGAAGCAGGTGAAATTAGGTCTCTAAAATACTTCAGTAAGTTGAAAGCTTTGTGTTTGAAAAGTATTTCAGACTTCTCAAAGAAGAATCCTTTTGAATCAAAGAGCTTCTGATTCCCTGGTCGATTGTAAATGAAGCAGACCTTGAAGACTTGGCCAAAGTCTCCCTTCTTAGCAGTCACAGGACTCTCACGGATCACGTGTTTGGAATTCTGCATTCTCCATTTAGAGAGTTTCCTTGCAGATATCTGTGACTCACATAATTCTAGGATGCTTTTGTGGAGGCCGTCCCCCCTGATTAAATTATATTCTTGGTAAACCTGAAAAGGCAAGGAAAGTGTTTTGATTAAAACTATGAGAGGAGGTGACCACCGTGAAGGGCGCTGACACATCCTTTTGCTTTGCAGGAATGTTAGTTCAGCCGGAGAGGAGGCCCGCAGGAGGATGCGGGAATGTGATGGGCTCACGGATGCGCTGCTCTACGTGATTCAGTCTGCGCTGGGGAGCAGCGAGATCGATAGCAAGGTTTGTTGAATTTGCATAGGTGAAGCATCTTAGAGAAGAAAGATGCCCAGGGGACCAAACAGGATGGAGAGTTAATGCGATGTTTAATACTTTCACTCTGAGATCTATATCGACTTTTAATCCTAGCCTAGAACTAGACACTTAATTCTTGATTAGTAGTGAATAAAAATTTAGATTAAGTTATTGTAACTACAGGTGTTCCAGATGAGTGTATAAACTCTCACATACCAGGTTGGCCACAATCTTCTAGCTTTATTTTCTAAAATCCATTGGCAAAAGAAAAAGAAATATTAAAACTACCTGAGAGTCGAATAGTCCTTTATTCTTACAAGATAGCTCTTGAACAACTTAATTTTGTCCAATGCCATGTAAGGAATACCTGATGAAGTCTAAATAAATGCTGTCAAAATGCTACATAAACGAGCCTGTCAAAGGCTACATAATGCGACATAAACGAGCCTGTCAAAGCATGGATCATCATCAGTCCATTCAGTGCTTTAGTTCTCAAACCAAAATAGAATTAGGTGGGATTCACCAGTGTTGAGCTATTTTGTTTTGTCTTCACTTGTCTTTTGATGAGTTTTGGTTCGTTTTCAATAAAAAGTTTGTAATTTCATAATATCCTGGTATCAACACAGACTTTACTGATGCTTTCAAGTAATACATGTGATGAATGTGATACCTTAATAAGACCTTAATACATGTGATACCTTAATAAGACCTTCTCCAGAGCCACTCTGTTGACATTTGGGTCCAGTTCTTTGCTGGGGGCTGCCCTGTGCACTGTAGGATGTTGAGCAGCATCCCTGGTCTCCACCCACTAGATGCCAGTAGCATCCTTCCCGCAGCCCAGTTGTGACAAACAAAAATGGCTCCAGATATTGCCAGATATACCGTGGGGAGCCAAAAATTGGCCCTGGTTCTGAACCAAAGCCTCAATCCCATGGTTTTTAATACCAACTCTTCATCGGAATTGCCTTTGGAACATTTAATAATGCATGTGCCTAGACCCCATCACAGACCCCTGAGTGAATCTGAGTGTCCAACTCTCATCTCCGATTTCTATTCCTCTGAAAGATCATCAGGTGATTCGATGTGCATCTTGGATTGAGAACCGCCTTAGTAGATACAGCTTTGAAATGGACACTAGTCGGGAATACGATATAATGTAACTTAGTTGTAAGGTCAGATAAAGAACAAATAAGAGTGATTTTATCCATTTAGTTACTCATTGGCATGGGGATGATTTGCCATGGCACTTCTCTACACATTAGAGTGACTGAAAAATTTAGAAAATTACTAAAAAAACTAGAAAACTAAATTCCTAGAAAAGCTAGAAAATTCCTGATGCCTGAGCCCTACTCCCTAAAGTTCAGGACCCATGATATTTTCTGGGACTCTAGCCCTTTGAGTACCAGCTGACTCCAGTTATGACACTGTCTGTCATCTTATCACTGCCACTCAGTTACATTGGCATCCATTCATTTACCGTGTACGACATCAATTTCAAAAGTGAAATATGATAGAAAAGATTTAATCAACCTCTCTTGTAAATGCCCTTAACAGCCATTTTAGACCTTTTAATATCATTGACAGGAAAATTAAGTCCCTGAAGAAGCAACCAGTCAAGATGTCTTGAGTATTTACAGATACCTGTTAACACAATAGAGGAATTTTGAAAAGAGCTACTGAAGGTAATTCATAATTCACAGAAGCTGCAATGCTAAGGATCTTAATATTCAAAGTGGTAAAGACTAACGCAGGGGATGCTAAGCCTATGGATACCATGCAAGCTTTAATAATGTCTGGGCCTTGTAGTTGAGAATCAAATAACAGTCAACAGCCTCTTGTTTTGGCCCAGTGACCACCACTGGGTGAGTAAGGCAGGCTTCGGGAGCATGGTCCAAAATCAGAGTGCTGTGGGGCATGCACATCTTTCTTCTGATGTGTCAGAGGACCAGACTCCTCAGTCTCTTGGGAGACCTTGGAGATTCTCCTTGTTAATGTCCACATTTCCCCCAAAAGAGGAAACTGAAAAACTGAGGACCACTTAGGGCTGGAGTCAGAAAACTCAGATATTCCTTGAAATCATGCCATTTGCAGCAACATGGATAGACCTAGAGATGCTTGTACTAAGTGAAGGGAGTCAGACAAAGACAAATATCTGATACCGCTTATATGCAGACTCTAAAGAATATGACACAAATGAACTTATTTACAAAACAGAAACAGACTCACAGACTTAGAAAACAAACTTATGGTTACCAAAGGGGAAAGATGGGAGGGAGAGGGGATAAATTGGGAGTTTGGGGTTGATGTACACACCACTATATTTAAAATAAATAATCAACAAGGACCTGCTGTACAGCACAAGGAGCTCTGCTCAATATTCTGTAATAAACTAAATGGGAAAAGAATTGGAGAAAGAATAGATACACGTATCTGTATAACTGAATCGCTTTGCTGTACACCTGAAACTAACACAACAATTGTTAATCAACGATGCTCCAATAGAAAATAAAAATTAAAAGAAGAACAAACAGAAGACTCAGATATTCCTGATTGAGCAGGAAGAACACTAAGCTTGGCCCCGGGAGCTTGCTGGAAAACGTGCCATCTCTTCCTCCCGATGACCAAGGACAGGACCCAGGTGACCTCAGCTTTGAGACAAGGAGGATCCTTATAGCTGTTGAAAGGATCAAATGTGATAAACTACTCAGCAGTGCTCTGCTGGCCAGAATGTGCTATTGAGTTTTAACGTATTATTATTGTCCCATCACTTTCCACTCGGCCCTCTGCTTGCCCACTTCTGAGCTTTCTCAGTGACAAGTTAGAGGAGGGAAAAATGTGTGCACGCTGTCTTTGAGGCCAGCCAAGTTAATGAGTGAAAGAGCCTGGATTCCACGCACGCTCTCAGCTCAGCTCCTGTAACTGGAACAGTTTGTTGAAAGGGTAACATGTGGTGGAGCGTTCTACAGACAGCTTCCAAATTAGCCCTTTCTAATAGAAAATAAGGAGTCAAAATGACCCTGGTGACCAAGAGGAACTACTGAAAGCTCTGTTGACAGCAATGGATATGGAAACCAAAACCACCAGCTGCCACCCACCTTCTCCTGGTGTCCCCAAGGAGGGCGGTGGCTGTCTTCTTTTTCTTTTTTTCTTTTTTTCCTGCCCCTGCAGAGAAAAGCTCTTGACTTGGTAACCCTCCCAAACCAAGCTTAAGGAGAGATAAGTTCAACCCCTGGGGCCACCCCTGTCCTTCCCTCTCTACCACTTCCTCTGTCTCCCTTCCGCCCTCCCCATCCCCACTCTGTCTCTCCTTCCTCTTCCCGCCATCCAGCTTCTCTCAAAATCATCCCTCAGCCACAGGTAGATTGTAAAACATTTCTCAGAACGTCGGATTTATTCCCCAGTGGTCATTTGTTAAACAGAGGCATGGAGGTGCCCCCAGGGAAGATGAACAGCAGGATGAGAAAAGAGTTTATTCTCCCAAGTCTTTGATGTAAGAAAAATCAGTTTGAGCTGATTTAAAAATCGTTCTGACTTGCCATAACATTTTCTTTTCAGGGAGAGACTTTTCTCCATTTCATGCATTCTCCTGTGTTTACCCGCTTTCATGCCAGTTCATTTTTCGATGCTGAGAGGATGCTTGAAATAGAAAATCAAGTTGACTCAAAGCCTGTGGGATTAGCAGCCCATGAAACCTTGAGAAGCTGACAAGAAAGGCTCGGAATGGCAAAGGTCCCGAAATATAACCTGAAAACTGGTTTTCCTGCACACAGTAGTCATGTCAAACATATACAGTGCCTTTTGCCAGATTCCAGTCATAGGTGGGAACAGTGCAGGATCTGGACCCTGGCAGCTCTCACCGCCCTTCCAGTCCCAACCTAGGACTAGAAAAAGTGTTGCAATCTGGTATAAGTTACTGAAAGCTTCACACCTCATCTGTAAAATGGAATGATCTTCCCTGCCTTGAATGGTGGCTGTCACACAGCTGGTGCCTGAAAAATGATAGCCAAGTTGGCATGCTTTTAAAAAGACAACTTATCTCTTCTTTTTCAGATTTTGTATGCCTGAAACTGACATGACATTTTAAATCAACTATACTTCAATTAAAAAATTTAAACTTAAACTTAAAAAATAAAATAAAACTTATCTCAGTTCAATTTTTTTTCCATCATTACCTTGTCCTTTGTAAAAATTTGGTACTTTATTTCCTCTTCCCTCAGGTCCTCAAATCCAGGACAAAGGTCAAAAGGTTGATGCACTGCTCTGAATGTTTGGTCCCCCCAAAATCCATATGTTGAGACCTAATCTCCAATTTGGCAGTGGGGACTTTGGGAGGAAATAGGAGCACAGAGAGATTTCACACTTTGGCCAAGGTCACACAGCTCATTAAATGGCAGAGCCAGGACTCCATCACGGACCCATTTAGATCTAGGTTACAAGCTCTGGACCTCCCAGCAGTACCATCTCCACCATTGTTAATGATATAAATCCTTGTATAGCACTTGCTGTGTGCCAGGAACTCTTCTCAGTACCTACATACTGGGTTAGTTTCCTGTTGCTGCTATAACAAATAGCCACGAACATGGCAGCTTAAAAACACAAACTTATTATCTTACCATCTTAGAGATCAGGAGTCCAAAATGGGTCTTTTGGGGCTAAAATCAACGTGTCGACAGGGCTGCATTCCTTCTGGAGGCTCGAGGGAGGCATCTGTTTCCTTGTCTTTACAGCTTCTCAAGGCCGCCCACATTCCTTGTCTCATGGCCCCTTCCTGCATCTCTAAAGCCAGCGATAGCAGGTCACGTCCTTCTCACGGGGGTTTCACTCTAACCCTTCTGCCTCCCTCTTTTGCTTATAGGACACTCAGGATTCCATCCCCCCCGCCCCGGATAATCCAGGGTAATCTCCCCAACTGATTAGCAACCTTAATTCCCTCCACCACATAACCTAACATATTCACAGGTTTCAGAGACTAAGACGTTGACATCTTTGGGGCAGAGAACTTTATTCTGCCTATCGCATGTAAATACTCTAATTCCCCTATTCCACACAGCAGCCTAAAACGTGGCCACTATTATGGCCGTCTTACAGAGGAGGTTATAGTCACGGAGATGTTGGGTGCACTGTCCAAGTCACACAGCCAGTGGTCAGAGACCTAGGGTTCTACAGGTATCCAGCTCTATGTGTGTCCTTAACCACTGTTTAACACCCCTGCCAGGAAAATAGGAGCACCAGCCATCTCGAAGAAAATCAGCACGGAAACACTAATGCCCCCGGGTGAACACAGAACCTGGCTTGCCTGGGACCACCCTGGTTTGCACCTCTTGCCCTGTTTCACTCCCAGAAAGTGCCCTAGTAGATGGCAAATGTTAGTGTCGCCCTCCCAGAGCTGACAGAAATCCAGTTATCTGTGCTCTTGGTGGTTCAGAACCCTAGTCCCCATGCGGCCATTGTCCGTAAGTAGACGCCATCTGGGACCTCTCGTGGTTGTGGGTTCTTCCTCGCTCACAAGTGAATTTCAATCAATGGCAGCTGCTTAAAAAAGGACCTCTTGTTGATAAGTAGTAATTTTGGGGTGAGAAAAGGTCTTAAGACTTTTCCAAGCTTCTCTAGATTCTTTCCACTGTGGCTGTCAAGGGAGCCATTAGGGGCAGCGGCTACATGCATCCAAAGAAAAATGTGTGTGTAAAGACGGATTGCTTTTCTGGGTGGAGGAGTGCTGGTTAGTTTTTATTCACTCCTCCTCCTTTTTTTTTTGTTTTTTTGGATTCTCCAGACCGTTGAAAACTGTGTGTGCATTTTAAGGAACCTTTCGTACCGGCTGGCAGCAGAAACGTCTCAGGGACAGCACCTGGGCACAGATGAGCTGGACGGGCTGCTCTGTGGTGAGGCCAATGGCAAAGATGCAGAGAGCTCCGGGTGCTGGGGCAAGAAGAAGAAGAAAAAGAAATCTCAAGATCAGGTGATGTGGGGACTCGCAGCTGCACGCAATCATCCCTTGCCCTAATCACAACATGCATGTTTCGTCTGTGTCTGCAGGTGCAGGGCTCTGCGTTTCTAACACGCGGTCACATCACTAATGCGTCTGCACAGGCTTTCCGTGGGGATTTCATAGCTGAGACAGTGGGGCATTACATGACGCCCCTCAGGTTCTGCAGCCACGCCAAGATAGGAAATTTCAAAAAGGGAAAGA